AGCATGGCAGATAATTTAACATTGAATATTTGGTATCCCAAGCAGAAAGAGTCTACTCCATACGGGAAATTCTAACTATATACTTTATGCGGAAAATCATCGCGCACGCTACTGCGGATTTGACTCCCCTTGTTAAATGGTACTTCGTTCTAAGGGCATGGATTCAAGTCTTCCACGTAGGATTGGTGAACGCGAAGAGGCTGGAACTTTTCTTCAGTGTCATCAAGATTGAGATTTACTTTACAAGGATTTACTTTGAGACAGTAAATTACAAATTTTTTCGAAGATATACATGAATGGGTTCGAAGAATTACCCTTACTATATAAGGCATCGTCAAATGTCAATGAATCTCCATTACTGGAGATGTGATAATGAAGCCGCAATCAAAAGAAAAAATTCTAATTTTGTTTAAATCACTGATCTGCTACTGTCCTGAAGTAGATAAGTTAACGCCATGATATGGCAAGGAAGCAATATATTAGCGCGTGAAGGATCAGTTCCGACAGACTAAAGTCAACAAATGATTATAAAATTTCGGCGACTGTGAAGAAAGTCGCCATCTTATGCGGACAATAAGCGACGTGAATATGGATTGCATTGTACGAATAAACGACATCGTTTTTTGACAGTAAACTTAAGAGAAACTGCGAACACAGTGGCGAAAAGGACTTTGCCAAAAAGTTAACATACGGCTTAGGCCGACTGGCCAGAAACTGCGTTTTTGGTGCAGCTATGGTAAAACAAATTACGCCAGAGTGACCGCTGTAGTTATGCCGGAATGACTTCGTGCTTTGTACGAATTTCATTGACAATATAGCTACAAGAGTGAAGGTATCGTAGTCGGATGCAGCAACAAACCTACGTGCCGATCCGAAAATCCCTGTAATATTGGAACGAAGCCGGTTTCGTAATGAAAAAGACGATGTAATTATTTGTCTCCAAGTTTTTGTCACGCACACTAGCAATTATGCTCATAAATGTTGGATATTGGCACTAAGTATGCAATTCTGGACGTGAGGAAGGAATGACGCTTTTTCAACTACTTCCAGAATTAAAAGAAATGGACGCATTCATGAAACTCGATCGTGAACCAATTTAGATATCACCATGTGATGACATACGCCACTCTTCCTCACTGCTAGTAGATCATCGCAGTTCAAGATGATAGGTTAACCTTTAGTTTGCCTTGGCACATGCGTCAGATCTCCGTAGATTGCTAGTATTCAAACAGGATCGATATCCACAGCGTGAGTTCACTGCGGACAGTGACCGATAAGCAATAATGAATTTTGGCAACACTGCTCCGCCAAAGCTTCATTACTGAAGTGGTTGCCGATAACATTAGCATTGTGAAGCCTAGTTACATCACCATTACGTGTTAATGTACGTCTTCGCTAAAACATGTCGCCAAAGCTGCAAACTATTAGTTCGTCTAAATTAATGAGCATTAATAGCAAGCACTGGTAGTTAGCATTCCATTGCATCACTATGCCGCTTACAAAGCCTCAAGTTTTAGATCCCTGCCTTAGAAAGGTCAGTCATCCATTCGAGCTTACGGTTCTGAAACACTTGCAAAGACCTGGACAGTTACAGTTACAAAACCTACATTGTTTATGTCAGGTGGCACTATTTCAGGAAAGGTACTATGGAAGCATTGTTGTTTTCGACAAGTTTTGTTCATCATATTAAACCGTCGTTCATTAATTTTGTTTGAAAATATGCCTCTTAAATTACAATTGAAAAACAGGATTCGTCCGTCGAATCTTGCAGAGGCAGTAAGCTTGTCACTCCTATCCAAGCAAACAAATGATTTTTTAAGATAGAGAGAAACCTTACAGAGAAGAACGAGCAAAAGAAACAAATTCAAGACAGAAGTAGACTGATAAACGAATAACCAATCGAATTCATGAAAGAAAACAACAATACAAAATCTGGTCGTTCATGTTATTAACGCAAATGTTTTCTCCGGCAGCAGAATATTCCCTGAGAATCTTGACTAAAACAATAATCATTACACAGGAGGCAATGACTGCGTAACAAGTACGCAACATTCGAAAGCTACCTAGGTTGCCTTAAGTAATTTATGCAGTTTCATATGATACACGATTTCTTTATGCTGAAGATATCACTGTTTGGTACGTCACAGAGGGGAGGACAACGTGTAAACCACTGGTCTATTAACAGGGCCGTCTGACCTTTCTGAATAAGCTCGGTCCGTCTTCAGAGCTACAATGAGTACGGTACGTACTGTTTTTAATTTTATGAGGGTTGGGTTCACTTGTATAATTAATGGTGTGCGTTAGTCATTAGTTCATGGCGACCGCTTGATGTTTTCGGTACATGTGTCGCCGACGTCTGTTCCAAGGTCACGACTGATGGCTTTCCCACTTCAAGACAAACCATAAGAGGAACCAGATCAGGTGGAAAAACACTAGTGCTAGAGAAAAGGGTCATCAGCAGGAGGACGGAGGCAAACGAAAAACCCAAAACTTATCAAAGCAAAATGCAAGAAAACTTTCTCCATCATAGAACATACTATAACCCATCAGCAAAACATCGTTGGACAAAATGGAAGGTGTCGCGTGAGGACAACGATATCTTTTTCGTAGAGTCAAGAAAGCATTAGTGATCAGCGCAAGCAGCGACATCAATCGTGACCTTGTGGCAGATGGCGGCGACTTACGGGCCGCAAACATTAAGCAATCACTTACGATAATAATAAACGAGGCACCGTTGATCATACGAGTGAACCTCTCCCGCATGAAAAGAGTATGCGCCATACTCATTGTAACTCTGAAGACGGACCGAGCTTGATCAGAAACGTCAGATGGCCTTGCTAAAAACGAATATTTTGAGTTGGCCTTCAGTATGTGATATACCAAAGCATCACTTTATAATACATAACAATTTCACACCATTTCATATTTATATAAATTAGTTATTCCAATGGTACTTTATTTAACATTTTTGAAAAGGGAAATTTTATACGTCCTTGCCAGGTATTTTTATTTGCCTTGTAAATGACTACGACTCTCAGCTTGGAAATCACCTGAATGAGTTAATGAAGCATTCGTTGCTTTGGTGAAAATAAAAATAAATTTTTTCAGTTTCTTTACACAGTACATGAACTGATATGTTGCTCAAATTCATTCGGCTATTAATGTAAACTGGTATGATTATTTGCCATACCAAATTATTTTTATCGGGCAGTATCGGCGTGTGTCAAATGAATATAACTCAGGCTTATACTACATCAAACACGATTGTATGAGCCACTGCTCTTCAACAGCGGGTCAACCATGATCTGTAGTGACGACCCTTACGCGCCAAACTTTAAAGCGATGATACTCGGCACCATCATCATCAGTCCTTTTCGAACCACGGCCTCTCCAAGACTTGGCCATAAATTTCTGCTTCCTATCATTTCTATTCATCTTGACCAGCGAATTTCTTTAACTCATCCTGGAGATCTTTTTACGAACCGTTTACACTCTTTTGAAACTCAGCTAATGCCTCGATGGCGCAACGATTGACGAGTTCTCTCACAACGTGGCCTCCGCATTGCAAATTTAACTTCATTACTAGAACAGTGACACTGCAGATGTCTGTTTGAGCTCTCATGCGTTCATTCGTTTTCCATTCATTTCTTGTTATCATGCTGGTTGTGTGCGCTGCAGCCTATTAAATAGCTTTCAGGCTTAGAAGCAGGAGCACACATTAAGCGAAAAGGGAATTTCTCTGAATTAAAACACCCTTAATTTTCTGAAAGTGCTCCATGTCATTTTTATTCCTCTGTTGATTTCGCATAGTCGGTTATCCGTTGTAGAGATGTGTTGCGCCAAATTTATTCACTTTTACCCATTTACAAGCTTCAGTTCATTGACTTCTACGGTGTTAAACATGACCTGATGTATCTTCTCTAGATTTATTTTCTGTGCTGCTTTAAAACTATTATAAAAGTGATAATATAAGTGGATTAGTCATAGAGCCTAATACACGATTGGAAGGTTTGTCAGTATTAAAAGTACCAGTATACTGAAAGTAACCCAAATTCGAATCTTGTGCAGTGAAATGCAACGCTAAGCAAGATTTGAAAATGGTGCCTCTGATGAATTAACAAAACTATTCAGCCAGCAATGGCTATAAACAGTTTCATTAAAAACACATGTTACCATCAACTGTACAGGGGATAAAAACCAACGGACTGGATGGGCAGAAGACGCGGACGATGAATGATGAACATCAGGAAATGGAGAACAATTACTGATTCACCATGTCATGAACCACTGCACACGTTTCGATCTCCCACATCAGATTTTCTTCAGGGTTTAAGCTTTTAACTTCACACACCCACAGCAGCAGCTGAAAGCTGAGCCATAAGGCGGACAGATAAAATATTAAGGAATGCCTCAGAAATACAGAGGAAAACGTTGTTGGGTACACCTCTTCCAAATAGACATATCATGTTATGTTCGATCATGTTAAACATATTTATGTGTACCTCTAGTACCACTAGCGACATTTGAATGTACTCAAATATTAGATTTTTTACAGTATTTTGATTTAATAATAAATATTCACTGATTCTATTTTAATTTTCGAAAAGGTCGATCGTTTAAATTATTTAAAGTAAGTTGTTTCGTTCGAAGCGTTCTTCGCGGTGGGTCAAGGTTGTAAACAACGATTTATGACTGCCCTGAAATTGCCTTACCCTGAAACCTCGTCAATACGATTACCTTGTCATATTTCGAGCGTCTTCGATGGTTTCGGGCAAAGGCTTACCGGACGTTTCCGGCAAGAGCACGATCAGCATCGCGGCGGTTATTGCCACAGCGCTGTAAATAAGCGTGACAATAATCGGATAATCATCGGCCTAAACAGCACAAGGTAAAATACTGAGGTCCGACCATTGTGCAGCAAGAACATGAACTGACCAGCCACATGGAAAAGTAGGAGGCAGACACCGCACCGAAGCGAGCTACCATGCTGCAGCAGCCCATCGCCGTACTTCTGATCATTGTTGGGAATAGCTCTGGCGAAAAGATGTAGATGATAGCGTAAACGCCGGCCACCAGTGACTTCGCTGTTACTACCAAAATCATCTTTATCGTAGCGTATTCTAAAAAAACCTGGCAACAAATTTAACAACAACAAACATAAGCACAAGATACTTACCACTAGGCACCATTAACGTAGTTAAAAGAAGCAGGCTGCACAGAAGGAAACCAGACATGAGGAGTGCCTTCCGACCGACACTGTTCAACAAGAGAAGTACCATGACCATGCACACGATCTCCAACGCACCACCGATCATAAACGACGCGCTAAGTCCTCCTCCAAGAAAACCGGGGTTGATCGCCAGAGCGTAATAAACGCACGAAACGGCTATCCTACACAACCAAACGTATATTCAACAAATAAGCTTATAAACAGATTCAGGCACTGACAATAAGTTAGGCGCTACATTCGAAGCAATTAAATTATATGGATGAAAAAACAGAAGACAGCGGCTAATCAAATGCAATAGTTTCAAAAAATAACGAAACATGCAGTCTACATGCAGAACTATAGATTAGCTAAAGAGTTTGAAAAAGATTCAGATTTATTTAGATTCAGATAATTCTTAATGCATGACATCAGGAAATGAAGAAAAACTGACATTTCATACCACCTGATAGTCAGCGCCAGACAAATGCTGAGGAAAGCGCTGTCCAAGGTCAGATATGAAATGGCCACTTCTCTGACATTTTTAAAAGAAGTCTAATATAAGTAAATTAATCGAAGCCCTTACGACTACTCACCTACACGACCGGTTGCAATCGACGTGGCGTCGGTTTGGAAAAAGACAAATGAATAATCAGGAAAAACGAATCGAAATATCGAAGCAGTTCTAGGTGCCAAGCCCCTCCTGATATACAGGTAAAGTGCACTGGACCATTTCTGAGTACATACAGTTTACGTTACCTGCACAATATAGTTACCCAATACGGGCACATAAGAGAACAGATGTTCTGTATATCAAATACATGCCAAGCATCACGCTGGTGTGGTGGCACAGTGCCTAAGAGGTTGGTTTCGGAACTCGAACTCCGTAGGTACCGACTTCGATACTCTGATTTTACCATGAATTCCCTTGAGCAAGGAATTTACCACACGTTGCTTCATGCCAGGTTCGAGCACCGGTAAGGATCACTCGCATTTCTTCATTCTGAGTGGGAAGGAAACAGGTTATAGAATATACTTTTAAAGAACCGTTGTCGATTATGCCTCTAAAAAATAAGGCACTCACAGTTGACAACATGAAAATGGAGATCATCACACCATTAATTTGTGAAAACCAGGGTTTTGGAACTGCTCCCCTCATGTGTAAGGAAGATCAACATTCCAACGATTACAAACTTCTTTTTTCTTTAAGCGCCACATTGATGTGCTATAATAAATACTAAACGGCAACGCGGTGGCATAGTCATGATGAGGTGAGGGTAGTGAATCCGGAGACTTAACAGGGGCCCGCAACAGACAGCATGACCGTACCTCTCGCCCGTTCTGGTATAACCAAATGACAATACCACGATGTCGATTTGTTCGCAAATTAACGAACTGCAGCCCGTAGCTCGCCCAAAGTGAGTTCCTTGCTCAAAGGAATTAGCAGGTAAAGCAAATTTTTTCCTCCTTCAGGGTTCAAAGCCGGAACCTCTGGAACTTCGAAAGCGAATTCAGCGTCATTACGCCATCGTGCCCATAAAAATCTTATCCTTTCCTGGGAACAGAAAAAGCAATTACTAGTGAATCTGAAAGATGCTCGTAAGAAAATTATATCAGTGTATATAAATTTACCCATGTCTTCTTTGATGTCATGTGCTTTCAGCTATATAAGGCAAAGTGTTTAAGACCTACTTTCTTCAAGATCATACAAAATGAACAGATCCATCATGGGGTTCGCTTCACGTTACTTAGAGATATCATAGTTCTACTAGAAAAAAATAATAAAATGATGCTGATTACATGGTTACCGGTACAATATATCGGTAAAGACAGGAAAACAGGTACGCGCAAGAGCTCTTCGAACCAGTTATTAAAGTTTAGTCATAGAGAAAATACAATTAAAGCAGCAACACAAGAACACAACAGCGTTAATTATACTTATGGCATTAGAAAAAACTGTGCCTTAATTACATCCACAGAGTTCAAACGGGAAAAGCGAAAATCTTACCAGCAGAAGAAACAAATGAAAGCTCGGTTTCGCAAAAACCTGTTGGAGAACAAATCGCGTATGGTGAGTTTCTTATTTTCTTGTGTATCTTTCTGTAACTAAAAAAGACGCAACAAAGTCAATAGTCAATTCATTCGTACTGTGAATGAAAATTTTATTCTTTATCGACAACAAATTTATGGTGATCAGAACAGACAATCATCTCTTATATGACTAACACGCAGTAGTTAAAGACCTGTTCGTTATCATCGTTCTGTTAAAGAACTAAAGAACTGGTAGGTGCTGATGACCACGGGTCTGAGGAAGCTGTCATATGAAATCAGAGACTAATTCCGGTTTGATAAAGTGGTAAAAAAGGAGCACAGCATTACCTTCATTGTTATTTCATTTTTCCTAGCTTAGAAGTCATGCACGGGTAACAGACGTGTTGGAAGATAACGCAAACGTGGAAACAAATCGTGGAGGCAGACCTAGTTGCAAAATGAAATATGACCTCTGCTGCAGCAGCGAAGGTTGCATAAAAAAAATCTAAAATTTCATATCTAACGGCCAAACATAATTAAACTGGGCTGCTCCATTGATGAAGATCTGTTACCCCTAAATTAAGATACCAAAACAAAAACAAACAACTGCAGTACTGTTTAAAGCAGTTTCAAACTCTAAGCAGCGGCTACAAAGAGAGTATCACGGGCGCCAGTCAACGTTATGAGTGAAAACAGGGTGTTTTGTAAACCCTGTCCAAACACATTTGCTTTCTCAAACTGCAACCAATCGAAGAAACAATTCACATAAAAATAAACAAGGGTACCATGAAAAGTTTACAATGCAAGTTCCGTGAAAAAATGATTCTGCAGGATAATACCAAATCTTTTTCGAAAATGAAAAAACTGTACATGTGTTATTACCTCGCACTCGATTTCTTCTGTCCAATTCGAAGGCAGCTGGTGGCCGTTACGTTTCGCCACTTTTGTCAGTATTTTTCCAGCATCCTCCAGCCTTCCCTTCGTAATTAACCATCGTGCAGATTCCGGAACGAACCTGTAATACACAATTTTTAATGAACCAAACGTGAAGCCGATTAAGAACCTCCGTGAGATAAATGAGTTATAATGATGAAAATGAACCTAATCAAGCTAAAGTCAAACAGAGAAAACAAACAGCCACATATGTAGAGGCACCATCTAAAGTCGTAGACGGAGACAGCCAATCAGTGTTGAAAAAACTGAGCTTGCAGTTACGGCAGTCAGGTATTCCGGGAAGACAGCAGGATTTATTCCATGACAAATTTTAGGTCAGAATTCGTATATTCACATAGCTTTACTCCTTGTAAGCTGGGATATCTTGTGGAAAATATTCAGCAATTTTTCCCCGCATGCAAGTCAATTAACCTGGTCAGTTTCATGCCGCACAAGAAATCTGGCAACAACTTGAGCTTACGCAATTAACACGGAACCAAAGCAGCGTGAAAAGCTAACTGGAGTTATTTCCTGCCGTCAAGCACTAACGGGCATTGAATCTACATGGATAACGGTAACTTTCATTTGCGGACTAACTCTAAGATCATTCAAGTTTCAGATTAACGCAGAAGACCGGGTACAACGAAAGTTAACAATAAGCAGGGTCTCGTCCTCAAACTAAACCGTAACCTGGACAAGATCAGTGACGATCACGATCACTGACGATCTACGTCAGAGGCTCAATCGCCAGCAGCAGTGCTATCCGTTTATGAAC